ATTTTATGCTGATTGCCTCTAGCCAAAACTTTTTTAATATATTATAACTTGTCGAGTTAGCGAAATATTTTCTCTTTCAGTATAACTATATAGCTGTTCCAAAGTTTCTAACATGATATTTAGCGAGTCGATCAGTAATATTCTACATATTACAATATGTAGATTTTCTGGTGGCGGAGGTGCGATCTTTTGACAAAATAGTTTAATTTTTACATTTGCTTGACGCGTCATTATAATTTTTAGATGATATTGGACTGCGACTTTTGATGATAAATAATACAACCTAGATCCGCTTATGAATTGGTTTCCTCAACTTTGTAATTAAACCATCTAAAACATAATATCATTAAAAAAAAATTAAAATCCAATAATTCAATTATTAAAAAAATAATATTTATGCTAATCTGCCTTTTGATTTTTAATAAAGATCATCCATGTTTATTTCAACCACATCTGTAGTTGTGTATGCTAACATCAATAACTCAACTTAATCATATAATCCCTAACTCCTTGAGATAGTTCAGAATAACTATATGTGTTCCGACAAGAATGATCCGATCCTCGTTGCAAACTTCTCTCTAAGCCACTTGTTATAAGCTGAAACACAAGAAAGTAATAACATCTGTATCATGTATTTTGAAAAGTTAAATCACGGATTGTACATGCTCATCAGGAAGAAATGTGATGGTAACGTGGATCAATTAAGGATGACAGACTGACGGAATGATTGCAAGATTGCAAACAAACAATTAGCGAGCTGGCTACTCGAATTCTTCACAGGCACTAGTATATTATATGGATTGCTGTCTCGTTTTATGAATTTGAGATGCCTCCTGACCAATTGTCTGTTTTGTAAAATGGAATAAAAGAATGAAAGTTTTGAGCTTTGGTTCACAAATTTTCAATTGTTGTATATCTTCCATGGTTGAATGCTTATTCCATTAATCTTGATATTATAACCAGAATCTTTATATTTGTTCCGAAGAAAAGCTGTATAAGCGAGGTTAGTGAATATTCACAATGATTCCATATTCCTAAAAATGAAATTTTCCTAATTATTAAAGTACATTTACTGTCGTTAAATACTGAATATTACGTCATCATTATATGAATGATGATAGAAAAAACTCTCTATGATGAAAGTACATCCTTTAAACTTGTTTCCCTAACTCCAGGATGTGTTGCTATTTATTTTTCGGAGTATGAGGACCCTCCAATTTTTGACTCGAGTGGCTTACTTCTCTACAAAGCGCTTTGTAATTAGCTTTACACCATATCGGCTATTTATTGCTTTTATTGTTTGTTACAAGGAACACAAAATGGGATTTGATTAATTAAATTTCTTATTATTATTAGAAGTTTTTGCATCTGGCTAAGCCAATTAGATATGTGGGTTCGCTAATTCTCTAATCGAATTCATAGGGTATAAATCCTAATTGCACATATTCAAGTACTTTTTAAGTATTTGCAAAACTAAGTATGATGATCGAGAAAAGAACCCTGCATTCACTCACTCCTAGGATCTATCACGTAATTCAAGTCAACCATCCAATCAGATTTATCATATTTATCATGTGATTAATCCAAATTAAAACTTTTTTGTTTCAATTTTTGTAGAAAAAAATATGTCCACCATTTCTTCTTCCGCTTCCTCCTCTTCGCATGATAAACCTGCGCCAACTCCAGCATTTACAGATACATATAGTTCGAATCTAAGTGATGAAAAAAAAGAAGAAAAATATGTACATGAGGTTTATGAAGCTATTGCACCACACTTTAGCCAAACTAGATATAAGGTACTAAAAATGAATCGATTTAATTTGCATAAATCAATCAATCAATCAATTAATCAAATTCTCTTTACTAATAAAACGAAATAAAAGCCATGGCCTGTAGTTGAGAATTTTTTAAAAGAATTGGAGATGGGTAGTATGGGAGCTGATATAGGTTGTGGAAACGGTAAATATTTTGGTGTGAATAAAAATACTTTTATGATTGGGACAGATAGGTAAAATAAATGAATCAATAGGAGGAGATATATATATTCTTTACAATTTGTCAGATTCTTCAAATTTATAAAATTTTTTTTAAAAAAAAAACAGAAGTTCTAAATTAATTGAGATATGTAAATCAAGAGGATTTGAATGTTTAATAGATGATGCATTAAATTTACCATTTAGAAATGAATGCTTTGTATCCTTGTTCCATTCATTTTTCATAATATTGTTTTTATTGGTTTTGTTTTTATTTTTTATCTCCTAACAGTTTAATACTTTTTTAGGATTTTGTAATTTCCATAGCTGTCATTCATCATTTAACAACTTCAGAAAGACGTGTTAAAGCAATCAAGGTAAACAAATGGATGATGTTGATTACAATTATCATGACAACAATATATTGGGAAAAAATGAATAATAATACATATATATTATATATGCAACAGGAATTATTCAGAATAACTAAACCAAATTCTAAGATATTAATATATGTATGGGCATTGGAACAACAATCAACACCAAAGAAAAATGCTAATGGTACTGAAGCTAGTGGTGGTGGTGGTGGAGAACCAAGAAGAAATTTTGATCAAAATTATCAAGATGTTTTTGTACCATGGGTGATTCCAAAAGATAAAAATTATGAAGATAGAAAACAGAATGTGGTTTTTAAAAGGTATTCAAACAATACTCTTTAAAATATTATTATTTTAATAAATAACATTAATAATTAATTATACCAATCGTGACAATTGGTAGATATTATCATTTATTTAAAAAAGGTGAATTGGATGAGCTAGTGATAAATACAAATTTGGCAAAAATACTGAAGTCAGGTTATGATAAAGATAATTGGTATGTTATTGCTGAAAAAATATAGTAATCATAAATAAAAAAATAAAAAAATGTGTTATAGATATATACAAAGATTATATACTATTTACATAGGATTGTCCCCTTTTAATACCATATTTGGATCCATCTTTACTTTTCTAGTATAACTATCATACCATTCTTGAAATAATTTTAATGATAAAAAAGAATTGCCAGTTCCAATAGCATCAGAACCAAAAGGAATTGAAGTTGTAGCAAATGAAGTAACATAATTATAAAGATTTTTTAGTATGTTCATAGTAATTTGATTAATAAGATCAAAATTTGGTATCGTGGTACTATTTGTAGCAGAATTTGTGTTTGATGAATTGCTTGGTGGTAAAGTTGCAAGTTCAGCTTCTACTACTGAAATAGGTTCAATAGCTATTCCTAAAGTTGCTGTTACTGGTTCTGATGGTGATGATTGATTGGCTGTTGATAATGTTGAATCATTTAAATCCATTGACATTTCATCTGTTGATGTTGTTGAATCCCCAATTAATTTTATTGGGTTGAATGTAAGTGTATTTTTATTTGGTGCTAATGTTGAAGTTGATTTTGATGTGGAAAATCCACGAAGTCTAAAAATTGCACTAGGTTTTTCATTTGATAGCCTTTATTTTTATTTATACCCCAAAAAATTTTTGTTACTAAAAAAATATCATACATAAAATTCAGGTAAAATACATCTACTTACATCCCCAACAGCTTCCAACCACCTTCATTGCCTGGCCATAAAAAATGTACTGTTGCTGCATAACCTGGATCAAATGAAATTGTACCAAGTAAAAATACCACAATATGATTTATATTTGCTGCATCTGGTAATTCAAATATATACTTATTCACATCCACTTGTTGAAGGTTTGTTTGAATCTAAAAAAATTTAAAATTGATTAAATAGGTCTATAATTAGAAATATCTTTTTCATATTATTGAATTTCTTATTTCTCACCAATCTTCCTGCTACAATACATCCAAACATTTTCTACCATAAATAGTGTCATCATAGAAATTCAATGCTTGCTTTTAGAAGATCTTCGTGTTACATACATATTGTATAAAAAAAGTACAAGTTACTATTACTTATAGATTCCACGTTTATCATAAATCGTATATTTCTATTGTGTAACAAATATGACATGATAATCAAAAAAAAACCCTTTTATTTTTAAAATTTTTTATTGTATAAAATATGGTATATTTATTACCAAGTTAATTTGCTTTCTTTTTTTTTAAATGAAAAGTGTTTGGTGAATTAAAAAAATCTATCGTTATTATTATTGTTTATCGTAGGGAGCTGTGAAACGATACCCATATCCGAAACAAGTTTGGTAAATTTATGGATTTTTTTCCTCTTGCCATTTATTTATTTATTACTTGTTATATTAATTTAATCAATTAAACATACATAGGTCACCAGGTAATTAAATTTATTTTTTACCATAATTTAACAATTATAATTGATAGTTTTAAATAATTATAGCTGGGGGTTGGTGGACTCGACCATCAAATTGGAAAAGTAATACTGCTATATGTGCAGCTGGAATAATTGTCATGACAGGAGTTATTTGGAAGATTTCTAGTGATCATGAGGTAAATCATTAATATTATTTATATTATTATATTAATTGATTGGATCCATTATAACTATAATAATATAATAATAATAATTATTTTTAGTGGAGGCATAATAAACCAACTAGATGGATTCCTTCAATGATGGTAATATTTATTTATTTTTATATAATAGAGTAAGTGAAAGTAATCAATTTTAATAAAATTATTATTATTTTTGATTAGTGGTCAAAACAATTTAAAGATGGTGAATATAATAATTTGAAATTTGAACCAAGTAAACCTGAAGAAAAAGAGTAAAATTAATTACTATATACAATAAATAATAATAAAAATAATATATGCTAGAAACTTTTAAAATTTTATTTAATCTATGAGAAAAAAAATTAAATTAATTGTTATTATTACAATTAATAGGTAAATTAAAAATATAATCATCAATTAATAAATAAATTAAAACTACAATTATCAATTATTAATAAATTAGTAAACTTCTATTTCTATCTATGTACAAAACTTCTTTAGATTCTTTATCAGATTCATTGAATTTAAACATCATTTAGAGGTGACTGAACTGGCAGTTGTTAAAGAAGGTGGCAAAATTTTATCATCATCACTATCATTATTGATAGTGTTGGTATTAGTAGTAACAGTAGAAAGAATTGCATCATTGTTTTGGTCATTCTTTTTTTTATCATCTTCTAAATCATCAATTTTTCCTATTTCATGATCCTCTCCATTATCAATCTTTTCTTCAAATAATACTTTACTATATGAATGTACCACTCTTCCATAATGAATCTATAAAAAAGAAACAATTAACTTTAAAAAAAAAAAAATCACAAATTTCTTTTCACCAAAAAAAAAAAGTAACTTACCAAAAAAATAACTTTAAGAACATAATCAATCAGATAAAATACTAATGCTAAATTAGTAGCAACCTCACAAGCATCACCAACTTCTTGAATTGTAATGGCCTTAGGATCATATGGCACGGTTACAGTACTTGAATTTGATGGTATCCAATATCTTATATCATCTTGACAATTGTACATTGTATCATATTTCCATTTAAATGCTAAAACCAATTGAATCAAATGTAAAACTAACAGTAAAAAAACTGAAAGCCAATATATAATTGAAAATATTTTTACTTTGTTTTTATCATTCTTTTTTTTTAATTTTTTTGAAATTAGTGAATAATAACTAGTTTGAAAAAAAAAGAAATATATACTAAGTGATTGGTAGAAATGATAATTACCAGACGTAATGCATTTACACCATATATTGCAATTATTGCCACCAAAAAATAGAATATGCTTAAAACTAATGTGAATACTCTTGGTAGATGTGTTATATATACTAAAAATTTAATTAATTAATAACAAACTTAATTGAAATAAGCATCACATGCTCTCTTAACCACTTACTTTTAATCTCTGGGATCATTATTGCTGTATGCCATAATGCATGTATCTGAAACAAATAATTAGAAAATAAATAATTAGCATTAAAAATACTTTTTTAAATTTCCAAACAACATTATGAATAATAATGATGTAAAATATTAATATTCTTATTTTTTACCAACAAAAGTATCGCAATGGTCATGACACCTGGCTTTATTGGTATACAACAACAACATTTTGTTCTAGAATGTTGAGCAATAACTTTCTTTAAATTACAACTTCGAGACTTGGGTTTTTTTTCGTTTGGATTTTTTAATTCCAACATTCTTGAAGAATTACGAAAAAAAATTAAGTTTGATCTATTTTGTATCCATTTGTCTATCTGTTTACATGAATATGAATGAATAAATTTTTCTTCGGATGTTCGAATTCTATGTACTACAAACATTGTGCATGACTGAGAATAGAAACTTGGAAAGTCGTGTGACCGATCAGTCAAACCATATTTTCAAAAAATCATTATTATTATTATATATTTTATTTCCCCTTACTAAATATCAAATATGGTTAAATCAGGGTCTGGCAATAAACCGGAAATTAATTAATATTTATATATATTTAGGGATAATATTATTAATTAATATTAATATAGTTGGCTCGGTCTAAAACCTCCTAAATTTTAAAAAAATAACGTTATTAGTCCACTAGATCGTTACTAAATTTAGACTAGCTCACAATTATATATAAATAAATTTTTTTTCGAACAAATAAAACAAATATTTATATTGAAATTATTATCTCTGATTCGATTCAATTTTTTTAAGACAAACTTTCTTGCGACTTTTTGAGATCCAGTCTATTAGGAATCGGATAAAAGTGTGTTTAGCTATGCTAAAAGCCAACTCACTTGGCAACACTAGTTTCTGTATTGATGTAGCTTCTAAAGACAAATTATATTTTTCTGAATATTCATCAAAAACTCATTTTTGATCATCTCTAATTCAGACTTAGAAAATGAATGCTATTAATTATGTGATGGATTCAATATAGTACCAATTTTAGAATTTTGATCAAGTGATCTTCAAGCTTTAACCAATTGCTTGCTGCAATCAACGTTGGTGTAGCAGGTGGACCTTCATTATCCATATTAACAATTCCATTTTAATTTTTTTGTAATTATTTTAAGAGCCATACGAATATCACTGTGTGTTGGGTAATTTGAAGTAGATAAGCAAGAAAAATTGGCTCTAATAAATTATATGTATCCTATATTAAAAATAAACAATCAGATTTATATTTTTTTCTAATATATATATATTGCAAAAAAAATTTTTTTAAATATGATATGTTTTTTCATTTGGAAAAATTTCTATTTTCCTGCTACAAGTATTTCAATCATATCTTTGATTCTCACCAACAATTTTTTTATCATGATATACAGGGAATTCCAATGAGTTGGCACACCCAACTCACGAATTAAAATTTTATTGCAAAATTATGAATATTACTTATTAGTTGACTTATTTTTTTAGTTGGTTGATCAATTAACTCTCACCATTTTTACTACTAGATTGAATGTGCTATACACCTGAAATGTAAAAAATAATATATTTAAGGGCCAAGCTGTTCTTCAACATTTCAAGATTATCATGTTTGACCCATTATCTGTTGTTAAATGCCAACAATTTACTACCAAGTGAAAATTCCTCTAACATAGCTATTTTTTATCTGCTAAAAATAACCATGTATGGATTTCATAAATAAGATTTTTTACTTTCCAGTCCTGGTCAACCCAATATGCTATCACTCCTAAATGTCCTTGATTAATGGTAGTAGAAGTCCAAGCACCTATAAGAGACAATTTGTTGGGGAATTTTTTAAACATCTATTTAACCACATCTTTTTGTTGTATATAAAAAAAAAATTAATCCAAGTAGATATTGATTGCCAACATGATAATTTGTATTGAAGGTTAAGTTCAGCAATAAAAATTCTTTTTTAAACAACACCAAAAGCTCATTGTTCAAAAATAATCCATTTCAACGGCTTATTGTCAAGAGTTTTCACTTTTTTAGATTATTTTGTTGTTGATCATTGTCAATAACAAAAACAAAAAATATTGATTGGTTGTTGTTGTGATTCAATTTGATTGTAATTTTCTTTGTAAAAATCAAAATCACCATCAACTTCAAAACTATTTTCATTTTGTTGGAAAAATTCATAGTATTAAATGTGTGAATTTCGCTACACAAGGACCTTTTAGGGATTTTAAGTCCTAAAGACTGATTGCCTAATTTTGTATGGGTGCACTTTTATGATTAGACCAAATTATCAAAAGGAAGAACCATTAAAATATCAATGATAGAATAGATAAGATATAAGAAATTGTGAACAAACTGTTATTGGTGAGAAAGGAATTGCTTTTAATAAAGTTGAAGCTTAAAAAATTAAAATAGATTAAATAGTTTATAAATATGCAAAGGTCCCTTTAAACAATTGAATTAAAATTGCCAAAAATTATATCTTTGCCTTAAATTACTAAATATGGTAATTTGCATATTAATGTTGAACGCGTTTACCCAATAATAGTTTTACGTGATATTTATAATTTGAATTAATTAACATCTTGTATACGTGTAAATATATATATATATATATATTTCGTCTATAAATGCTTTAAATATAACATGAATAATAATAATAATAATAATAATAATAATAAAATGATAATAACAATAATAATAAAATAATAAAATTAATTAAAGTATCTCAAAAAAAAATATATATATTATAAATACAAAAATGATAATAATGATGATGACGATTATAAATATTTATTAATTATCTTATTAATTAATTAGTTTAAAAAATTTTTTTTGACTTATAAGAAATATTGTCCTACACCTGCTCTAGCTGGATTAACACGCTCTTGATCAGGTACGGCATTAAAAATTTTAAAGCTATTTTCATCGATTTGTAAGTTTTCATCAATTTGCATAATTGATGCTACATTACCACACCTGTAACAATAGTTAGGAGCTGACCATACTGTTACAAGATTGTCATCCGGAAACATATATTTAAACCCTTCTTGAACTAGTTGATGTGCTCGAGCTATCAAACTAAGATCGTTAACATGGTTGAACTGAAAAAAAATGATGCATATTTTATTAGTTGAATTAATTAGTTTAGAGGGGAAGAAAATTATAATTTTCTTTTAGTCGATTAAAATTTTTATTTTAATTTTTTATCTTTTAAATTTAATAATTAAGGATTACTTCGTTTGTTACTTTAGCTCCGAATAACCATCCTGCTCCACGTGGACTAACAGCCCATGTTTCAATATCTTCGGGATCAGACCACATCAAATCTATTTATCATGTTTAATGATGATAATAATGTTGTTGTTGTTATTATTATTATTGCTATCATTATTCATTTAATTATTCTATCCAAACAAAATTACATTGAATAATTATATTTACCACAAAATGATCCCTCATGTGGAATTTCTTGTGCTCTTGGTATTATTCTTATTTGATCTAATGTTCTAACTTCAGGTGACAATCCTCCATGAACACACAGAACTCGTCCATCAACAATCTTTGATTTTTTTTTAAATCAACGATTTTTATTATTAGAGATTTTATGTATGAATCTTTTTAATTAAACTATTTAATAATTCCATTAATTGATACATTTATATATATTTATGTAAATATATATAAATAATATGTATTTTCTCCTTACAGCTGCTAATGTCAAATAATCAAATACTTGGCAACAATATTTCCAAACATTTGAATTTCCATATTTTGATTGACACTCATCTTTAACAAAATATTAATCAATTAGTATGTATGTTAAGAAAAAACAACATAAATTATTATTATTATTATTATATAATCACAACAATTTACCATAAAATCCATAAACTTGCGTTATTTGTCTACTTTCATGATTTCCTCTTAAAAGGGTAATCTTATCAGGATATCTAACCCCCACAAAATAAAAATTTTACGTAATTTAAACTTTTGTCCATTTGTATATACCCCAGTTGCATATATATATTCTAATATTTTTAATACCTTGCTTTTAACACCATTAATAAGGTAAATGTTTCTAAGCTATAATATCCTCTATCTACAAAATCACCCTAAATTATATAGTTTTTAATAACAATAAAACATCCAATCACATCAATAATATTGTTAATCAATTTTACCATAAATATATAATGTGTATCTGGAATCTCTCCTCCAACTCGAAATAGCTCTAACAAATCATAAAATTGTCCATGAATATCACCACAAACTGTTACTGGTGTATACACTGGCTGTATATTAGATTCCTCCATTAACAATTCCTTGACCTATACATATGTATATGAGTATAATTAATGGTGTATTTATATTTATATAAGTTACATATAATAGATCTGGTCAAAAATACAAATAGATAATGTAAATATCTTTTCATGTACCATTTCACAAAGTTTTTTCATATCATGTTCGGGTAAATATTGGCATGACTTGATTGTACTTAACCATTCATCTGGTCCTCCGCCCATATTTTTTATAATTATAATTTATGTATTAAATTAATTTTGATTTTAATTATTTTTTTAAATGTGTTTTGATTAAAAATATTTTTATTATTTCAATTGATCTACTAAATTTTTTTGTCCTATAATAGGGGAATTTCAATATCATGTGATCGATACATCATTGAACTCTGATCATGAAAGGCAAAAGGCAAAAACTATTTCATTCTTGAATACAAACAATGGTCGTAGATGGACATCACTTATGTGACGCCAAAAACGAAATAACAAGAATGAACAAGAGAGAACAAATAAAGAAAACCAGAAGATATCCGTTAGTAGTTTTTAGTCCATCGTCATCTCAAAAAAGGTACTTATGGGGAAGGTAGATGTTCCAAGTGTGTCTCTTGTCTTTCTCTCGTATTTTAACGCTTGCCCATCTTCTTTTTTATCTTAGTATCGAGCTGTGTCTAGCAATTATCCAATTATTTCTATTTCATGAGCTCATCTTGTACTCTATGTATTTCCTTATGAAGACAAATGGTTAAAGATTTGTACTAGTCAGAGTTGATACTGAATGTTGAAAAATGGTTTGAAGCAATTAACACCATGTCTTTTTAATAATCTTTGTCCAACATATCATTTAGGAAATCAGATGATGATGATGATGATAATATTGATATCCTACGCAGTTGAAATTTGCACTAGAAATTCAATACATCATGTGGTTTTGATAACCGTAAAGATGCCAATGAACATGTCATGACTACTACATTTAAATTTTATTCGAAGAGATCAAGAGTGAAAAAATGGAAATAATGTTTTGAAATCAAATCAAATAGAAGAGGTATTTGTGGGAAAAAAGAAGATATAAAGAAAATCCATTCGTAAATCTTTAAAAAAAAAAATGTTATCAATGAAATAGTTTGCCAATTGAAGAAGTACTTGTTTTTCTTTTTCTCATCAATCAACTATTTTCGAAGGTTAATAATAACACGAATCAACAAATTTTACGATATTTTTGTGACAACATATAATAGCTTACTATTCCAAATGACCAGATATCGATGGATTTGTCATATTCACATTGAGCAGTATAACACCAAAAATAATTGCAGAATCTTTTTTTATTAATTATTAATAATGATATTGATCTACAGTATCTAAATCGGCTAATACAACTAAATTAATTGCAGCAGAAGCAAGCAATAGCAGTAATAAAAACTACAGAAACAACTACCAATATTACAGCAACTACCACTTAAAAACCTGCCATCGCCATTTTCTCATCATATACAAATCAGTGTTGTGACCCGAAACTCTGAGTTTAGGGAAAACCAAAAACAGAAACTAACAGAAACCACCCGAAACTAGTTTAGGTTAGTAGCTTATGCTTAGGTTTAGTTTTAGGTTTAGTTTTCTGCTTAGTGTAAGTCCATTTTCCGAAACGTTTCGGGAAGCCAAAAGAGTTTGTGGTCACAACACTGATACAAATACATTTTAATAAAACATTTACTTCATTGTGGTCACAAAAAACGTAGATCAAAACAAGAATACGTTTATTATAGGTAGCAGTAACTGCTTTTCCATTGTTAATTGCCATTGGAATGATGTCTAAAGAAGATGTGGGCCAATTAGCTTACAGAGTATTGAAAGCTTATAAATTAGAAAAAAATATTTTATGTGAAAGTTTTATATCAAGAGGTGTACAACAAATTTTCATGATTGAATTTGAATGAATGATAATAACAATATTATTATTATGATTAAATTTTAAATGGATGAATGGTTATAGTTAATTAACGATTTGTTTGATGAGTGATTAGTGATTAAGAGATTAGAGTCGATAAATTAATTAGTATACCATTTTTTATTTTTTTTTTAATTACATAAATTTTAAATTGCTTAAATTTTCAAGAAAACTTTTTTTAAAAATAATTAAAATAAAATAAAAATAGTTTGCTATGTAGTATTCATTCATATTGTATATATTATATTAATTTTAAAAAAACAACATAAATAAATAAATTATTATAATATTTAAATTCCAAAATTACAAATTTGTATTTAATTAATTAATTGATAAATAAAATTTATTGGTTTTTTGTAAAAAAAAAAAAATTAAGAAAATTATTGTTAAAAATAAAGACTAATTTCGAAAATTTTTGAATTTTAAATCTTATAATTTAATCAAAGGAAAAATTTTTGTAATCAATGTTTTTTTTTTGTAAAATATAAAACAAACAACAACAAATTTGTGTTGGGTGTATATATAATGTTTTTGTGCATGTGTATGTTTTTATGTGTGTGTGTTGTGCAATATATATATATGTGTGTATGATGATGATGATTATGATGATGATGATGAATATGATGATTGTGTTAATGATTATGATGATGTGGCAAATGACAATAATTTACTTATTCTTGTTTTTGATGCTGTTCATGGCTTCTGATAAAAGAATTTCATATTCGGTTGAATCCCAATCTTCGTTCTCAGTATCTTCAAGCCATCCAGCGTTATTATCATCAGATTCTTCAAGCCATCCAGCGCTATTATCTATGTTCTCATCATCTAGAATATTTATGTGGAAAGATAATGATGTGGAATTTGATGATGAATACGATGAAAACATGGAAAGAAATATGAATAAAAAAAAATAATATAAATATTAGTATTAGAAATAATTAAAAAATAGAGAAAAGTAGTTTTTATAACGAGAGATGAAGTACCTATTTCAGGTGTTGATTCTCGAGAACTTTTAATTTCTCTGATGTTACCACTTCTCGGTTCAGTAGTACCATCCCTCCATGGGCTCTTAGTATTATTCTCTATGTATTGCTCGAAATCATTTACAAGAATGTCATATGGAAGATGAAGTTCAGGTTCAAATCCTTTGACTATACATGTGAATAATAAGTAAAAAATAATTCAAGTTAGATGCATATTTATGTATTTAAATTAACGGAAAACATTGAATAAAACTTACTATTCACTAAAAGCACGTTATTATTATTGTAAAAAAAAAAAAATTTGATTAGTTATAATTATCAATAATCACGTCTATTATAAATTATTATTATTATTATTATTATTATTACCTTTTGCAACCTTTTTTATTGCACTTCTTCTAAATCTAAATGAAGCGCAACCTTTATTTGATATACCTTGTCTAGATTTTAATCTTTTTATTGCTAGTATTCTATGTGTTACAGCAGCAAAGTTGTTTTGTGGAAGAGATGATGTATTTGTTCTAATTGGGGCTATTACGTATAGCTGATCATTTAGAGGATACCATTTGATAGTGACATAATTTCTAGCAGAGAATTGTGATGTATGATGAGGGTTGTTGTGAAGTTTTTGGCGTTTTGAAAATGTGGGTGAAAACAATGATAGTGATGACGGTGATGACGGTGATGAGAAAGAATCATACTTTCTTTTAAGAGTACGCTCACCGCCAAACATTGGCCACCAGCCATGTTTATTAACAATGTATCTGTTTGAATTTAAAACATCTTCTACCGATTCTGGCAACGTCAATTTATTAACTGAATATGTGCAAGTCCAGTTTATCCAAATTTTAGTAAAATAATCATTACTAGTATTATTGGTGGCAATATTAGTAGTTGTTGTGGTGGAAGTGGTAGCAAGATCATTTGAAATGATACCAGAATCAGTGGAAGTAGTAGTAGAATCGGTCGAACCATTTGAAGTGACAACAGGATCAGTGGAAGTGATAGAGGTAGCTTGTTGGTCGTCAATAATGTTGTCTTTGTTGTTACGATCACAACCATCAGTATTATTGTTTTTATTATTATTAGAATCTATGGTGGTGGACTGATTATCATCATGGTTTTCTTCATTGTTGGTCGTAATAATATTACTCATATTTTTATTATCAATATTATTATTGCTATTATTTTTGAAATTGGTGGCAGTAATAGTCTGACTGTCATCGTCATTTTCTTCATTAGTGGTGACAATATTTTTATTTTTATTAACATTAGTAGAATGATCAGGAGTGGAGACGATTTGATTATTATTATTATTATTATTATTTTCATCTCTCATGACGATGATATTAAGCTTATTGTTGTTATCATTATCAGCATAACTAGTAGAATTATTAGATTTCAAGAGATCTTTTCCGGTTGTTTCGAAACCTTTTGTCAAGGCTTTGATGTTGGTCATTGCGATTGGATTTGGTGCCATTTGTTGCAAAAACAAAATAATAATAATATTTACCTTTTTTTTTATGGTAGCTTTATGTTCAATTAATTTTTTGTAAGTTATTATTTAATTCTCAAAGTAATTCCTCTTTTTTCAAATATTTATGTGGAAGATAGATAGTTTTGAGTTTGTTTGTTATGAAAATTTATATTATTTTTTTTTTTATAAAGCTGTAACACACAAAAAAATTTAGTTGGTTCAAAATTAAGTTGCCAAAATGTCATTGTTACGCATCATTTGATAATTTAGTATTAGCATTATCGTCTAACGTCACGTTTAGACGCGAATACTGCCTTAAATAGTAAATAAACCCAATGGACCCTGAATACGTCACACTAATCATGTAAATCTTTCTAAATATGTAACAAACGTAAAAGTTTGTGCTTTTATTGAATATAAAAACATTATACAGAAAATGCATGGCTTTTATAATTTTTGTAATTTGAAAACATCTACTATTGGCAATATGAGATCGTAAATGGACCAACTGGGTCCCCTTGTTACTGTAGATCAATTTTAGGTTTATGTAACCTCGTGTAACATTTAGTGTAACACCAACATTCAGGATGATTCATATATGCACATAGTCACACATCGTGCAATGTTGCACATCTATATTCATATTTCTATATTTATGTATTACTTATTGAACCATTTATAGCTAAGTGATGTCAAATGACTAAAGATGTCTCCTCAATTAATTGTAGCATATAAAATTGAATTGTGGTTGCAGTTGCAGCATATGAAAATTGAATTGTGGCTAATTGCATCTTTACAAATGGCTATCAAATAACATCAAACAACCAGGAAAATGGCCCAAATGACTAGGTCATTTGATGTTATTTGATGGTCATTTGTTGTATAAAACAGCAGGGTTCAGGACAGTTACCTGTTTTTGACAAAATCATTATGCTACATACAATCTGCAAACCAAATTTCATAATAAAAAAAATTACAATTTTGTCTCTATATACAGTCTAAAATAAATTAATCGGTGAACATTGTATATAAAAGTTTGCAATTAATTGATAAGAGTAGCTAAAACATTTGGCCATAAAATGTAAAACAATCGGAATTAACCAAAAGCTACCTCACATTAGTTCAAAGTGCATGTATAATTAGAAAACAAAAAAATATTCCGATCAACCATAATTTCTCAGAGCCATTGTAGAATCTTCCATCCACATAAGATCATTTGAAAAAGAAAATAAAGCTCTAGAGGTAAAATAAAAATTAATAAATAAAATCAACATGCTACCAGAAAAACAAATCCTTGCACATTCTACATTGCACAAAATTATGGTTTATCCTGATGGTGTTTATATTTACAAGGGTGAGATTATTTCATACCTACAAAAAAAAGGTACTAGATTTAGTTCTATATACTCAGGGAAAACATGATTCTAGTGCCATTGAGATCCAAAATAAAACAAAATTATTTGAGTGAAAATGAAAGGTTGACCAAGAAAGTAGAATCAATAACTTCAAAGAAGAGAATTCTGGCCATTAAATTGAAAAAAACAAGAATGAAATAACAATCTTTATATTTCATGAATGAGATCAATACAGTCAGTGAGTTTTCCAAATTTGGAAATTGATTTGGAAAAAAATTCATTGATCAATTCATACATGACTCATGGAGTTTAAAAATTTTTTTTAAAAAACCCCAATTATAATAATTGAAACAAATAGTATAGTAATTGTTCCATCGGAATCTGTTAAGAATCTGTTATAATCTATTAATTTCTTCAAGTATGCTTCTATTAAAAATTGGGGAAATTATGTACCAAGAAGTTGGCTTTTTAATACTTTTTTCTTTTTTTTCCAACTGCCAGTACTTTACCATGTTTATTTGCTCACTCAAGAATATCCTGAGAATAATTTGAAGTTGTGAAACTAAAAGTGATCAATCTTGGAGACATGCATCAAGATCAACAGCAAAGGAACATTTTTTACATATTAATATATATTCATATAAAGAAAGCCTTTTGCTAAGTGTTTCATTATTATTTTAACTGACTTTTATTTTGTAGCTTCAATCATATTAGTATTAGAACTATTTATTTATTTTTACTACATAAATTTGGATAAATTTATTTATACAGTTCTCTCTCTATAACAAACCTTATGTAATTTTTTGCTTTTGTTCATTATAGAGAGAGTGAACTGTAATTATGTTACATAAATAGGCGAGGGAATTTATTTATAAATTGTTAATGAATGAGTGACTGGTTAATAAATCAAACAACAGTTTCATGGACCATTTGGCTTACAAAAAAATGTCTGTTATAGAGAGAATCCATTATAGACAATAATGGGACATATGAATTGGGCTTAAATTTTCAGTCTGTTATAAGGTTGTGGATGAAACCTCCTTAGTAATTGCTGAAATCTAATAAACAACTAATGTGTAACCTGCTGAAACTTTGCCAATTGATTTCTGAAGGGGTTTCGACAAGTAACCTTAGTCTGTTATATATCAAGATCTGATTATAGAAAGATCCATTATTATTATAGTGAACTGTGTATTTAGCCATTATGAAAAAGCTATTAAGTTTGTATAGTAACTTTATTATTATGATTATGAAAATATTAATTATTTTTTATGGACTTGTAAAGCAGTTAAAAATACACATATTACATAATTTTGGAAGTTGTATGACCATTTAATAAAGCTCTCGCCAAGTTCTTCTTCATAAAAAGCAAGCATTATTTTTTTCAACAAAAAGATTTGCATAAAATTTAGCCAATCATCTTTGTTTTGATTTTTTCCTAAAGAATTCTAGATCATCAATCATTACAATATTTAGGAATTTCTTATTTGGAAATCTCACTGACTGCAATAGGTTCAAAAAGAAATCAAGATGACAGAAGGAGATCCAAAAAAATTAAGGAAAATAAACTTGCATAGACACCTAAGTTTATTGCTCTAGTGTCCCAAATTAGCAATATAGGTCAAATGTCATTATCTTCAACGGTTCAATGTATTTTTGCTTGCCAAATCATCCAGAAATCAATAAGCAGAGTTTTGGCAAATTACACAATAATTGTTTGTTAGAGTCTCAGTAGAGTTTCGCATATAGGAGTTTTGGCAATTGGCAGAGTTTTGGCAAGATACACACACTAATTGTTTATTAGAGTTTCAGCAGAGTTTTTGCAGTAATTAAGAGGTTTTGGCAAGCAATCTTAAGAATTTTTTATCTTTCTGACTGGCCATTCCCCTGATACTTGGATCTCAAAAGGTATCTTATCTTGATGGAATAAAGAAGTAGTAGAAATCACAATTACTGAGAGTCTTCCGAACTCTCTATATGGAATCCTGGCAGATGAAAGCACAAAAGGAGATAAGAAAATCTTATATATGTCTCACACTGGAATGTGATCAGAGAGGAACCTATCCTCAAAATCCTAAACATAGAAGACTTGGATCTCTACACCTCGACTAATGTGTCTATCTCTGTGTTGGAAACCATTAGATCATTTAATTTGAATATCTTACATTGTCTATATTGGCTCATTGATAACATAAGTTATATGTTGTTAATTTAAACAAAGATCCAGAGCAAATACAAGCAGAATTCCATGTGGTCTGCATATTGTTCATATTACAGCAACATCTTTTGACAATACAACTTTTGGGAAAGTTAATTCACCCTCAAGCTTCTCCTTGAATCTCTATCTATTTAATGTAATAATATTGCCTATTATCTTCACAGTGGTGGATACAATGGGTCTGTTAAAGATGATCAATTGAACATAAAAATGAAATTATCAAGAAAATTATGTAAGGCATTATCGAATGCGGATTTCAACGAATGTCAAAAGCCCATCACAATCACTGGTTATACAATCAATAACAGCCAAACAATACCTAGAATGATGTGAAATACACCTTCAATTTACTCAATGGTTTGTTCAAGAGTTGGAGGGCTCAAAGAATTTTCCCGAGGAATATCTTCATAATGGAAAACGTTCTTAGAATTCCTACCAAATGAAAAGCTGAAATAGAGGTATTAATAATGGTTAAATTTAGAGAGTGGTTCTATGAATATGAAAGAATAAAAAATTTTTTAATTGATCTTGATATATTATTTGAGGAACCTCTAGTTATCCTTCACCAAATGGATGTCATTCTCATCAGATGCCTGAAATGGTAGGGAATTAGATTAATGAATTAAAAAATGTTCTATAGAAATCCTAATGAGATTTTTATAGAGGAATTGCTGGCGGCCTATGGCCTTTTAAATGAGCAAAAATCTCCAAATTTAGGTACAAAAGCATATTGAAAAGGTCTTTGAAGTATTCAACAAGTGGATAATTACTTGGACTCACCTTCCGCTTTCTATATGTAGTCTTGGAAGAGAGAATGGCCTGAATTTGCTCAAGCTATTAGTCATATAGTATTATTCCTAAATGAACCTACAATAAGATTGAAAAATTATAGAAAAGTTAAGAAAAAATTCAGAAGAAGGAAAAAGTGATTCATTTGGAGCAATATGAATTTAATGAACAATTTACACCAATTACAAAAATTTCCATTAATATCAAATTTGTCAATTATAGTCCATCGATAACATATTAAAGGGATGTTAAACAAATATGATATTAAAACTCATCCCAACGTGAATAAATCGTTACAGGAAGCCAGGCTCTAACTTTCAGGTCTTGCCTATTTACTAGATTTTGAACTTACCAAAGAAGAATTAACAGCAATTCAAGCAAAAAATGCAAGAGGAAACTTCTTTATCCATGGATCCCGCTGTCATTGGGAAAGAAGCAGCTAAAAAATTGGCAGAGAAATTTTTAATACCTAAAAGAAACTAATAATATTTTTTTACGATATATAATAAATACCTTTAATTAGTATATTATTTGTTTGTTTATTTATTGATATAATTTGTTATACAAGTCCCTCGAAAAAAATGTTAGACAAGAATGATGATATTCAGAAAGTAACCTTAATTCAAATTGTTTTATTCATTTTATTCAAACTACTTTATTAACATCTATAATTTACAATTTTTCTGATAAGCATCGTCTTTGTTGTTTTACTTTTGTATAATCTTGTTCAAATGATGGTTTCATTTATTTAATTGTTGGTCAGCCTTTACCTCTTTGTTTTTTGGGATTTAATCGATTTCTTTTTCTTTTTCTACATCATCAATAAAATTTTGCAAATAATTAAATAATTCCTTTGATTTATCTTTTGTTAACACTGGTTTTTTTAATGCCTCCATGTAATTTGCCATACATTAATTTTTGTTCAAATACATAAAGGCTTTTTTCAAGAAAACCCTTGCTATCATACCAATATGCACTTAAAAATCCAACGCGAGAATGTGTATTTTGTTGTACTTTCTCCTTTTCATCATTATACTTATCAGCTACAAGGAACAATTCTTCTGATCCATCTTTATCTCTAAAATATCAACATGATGTGAAATTTAGCTTTATTGTTTGTTAACATAACTTGAAGATAATGATGACACACAATTTCTTGTTGAATTATAGACACTTTCATGTTCACACAAATATGTACGTCTCTCCTACAATACCCTCTATCCGATGAACTCTATCCTTTCCAATATGAAACCTTTTCTTTTTGCCCCCACTCCACTAGACTAGAAACATGTCACCAAACCACAGTTTTTTCAGTGAACAAACAAACTCGGAAGTTTCAGTTGCCTTGTATATATGAAACATCATAAAACTCATCTTCTCCAGTTTCTACAATTTATTTTGTAGAATAATGTTGTCTTTGAGCACCTTATACAATCAAAAAAACAAAGTTATATAGTTTCCATTAAAGAATGTATTTGAAATTCAGTTAAAATGTTTAGTCAAGTAAGCAAAAACAAGAGAATGAAGGAATGTGGAATTTAAATTGTAATGCGATCAGCGTACAGTTGTATAATTTAGGGGTCTGGAGTTACAGAGCAGCATGCGTTAAATTATAATTCTTTTAATTTAATAAAAATTCACAATTTAAATATTTATGTACTTCATTATATTATATAAGTATCACAGATTTAAGATCATGTGCAAATAGAATTTACAAGTGAACTTTTTCAAAAGGGAAAGATTCAGAAATTTATTTGCTGGACGTCCACCATTTTGATATTTGTGATGGATCAAGGCCACCAATATTATCAGGAATGGCAAAATGATATGTAGAAAAGATGCAAAAGTATTGGGATAGTGGTTCATCTAAAAGGCCAACTATTAGTGAACTTTTCGTTTTTGTTGATGATGACTATTTACCAGAAATTATAAAATGAAGATTTAAATATACTACTATGTGCAATTCTTTTAAATAATAATCTCAGTCAAGTCATCATTTTAGCAGAATATTAGGTGATGATATTAACAAACTTGACGATGATGGTAGCGATGTGATGGTTATGATGAATATAAACGTCAATCTATTTAATAATAAGATATTTTTATTCATAACTAATCAATATTAGACTCTAGTAACAAGAATAATGATGGTAAATTGAAAAGATCAATGAGGTTGACCAAGTTAATGAATTGAGTGGATTTGGGTGACAGATTGGTAGTGATGGACGGTTATTAATCTATTACTATATTAATAATGGGGCAGTTATTAAAAAGATTAACCCTCCCTTTAATCAAAGGAATCAATGGCAATTATACAACAAACATTATGCAAAAGCAACACTTTTTCAATGTTTATTTCAGGGAATAATAGCAATCAATTTCTTTATGAATTTTTAAAATATCAGAATCATCAACAATCTTTTGATCAATGATTCAAAATCCCTTTCGTTTTTGGAAATCAGTAAAAAAAATCAATATCAAATCGCAAATTATCCTCTTTCTTTACCTGCAGCTGGTCTGTTATGACATCAATTCATACATCAAAACGTAATTGTCCCACAAATACTTGTGCTTCAAAAATTGAAGAAATCTAGATGTTGGAATCGACTAAAATAGTCGACTAAACTTTTTTTTGAACAACTAATAGTCGACTAATTAGTCGGCTACTAATACTGATACTAATACTAATATTAGTACTAATACTATGCTAATATTATTATTGTCTGACCAATTACGATTTTTGTGTTTTATCATTCAAAATGGAAAATTTCTATGCGGAAGAGTATCAATACCATCAATATGATGATGACGACAATAGTAGTGTGCTGTTGATGACAATTTTACATGTGAATGAATAAACACTTCCAATGCAAGGTCCAATAGTTCATTGGCTTTAAGTTCCAATGGTTTAAACGGTGATTTCAAAAGACCTTTAAAAAAACGAATCATAACACATGATTTTGTGTGGAAGTATTTTGAAAAAGTGAAAGATTCGAATGGAAATGAATTTGTAATTTGCAAAAAAAAATGAAATATTATTATTATTATTATAAAAAAAAATTTTTAGTCGACTAAAGAAATTTTTGACCGACTAGTAGTCGACTAAGGATTTTTTTGGACGATTCCAACCTCTAAAAAAATCAAATGGTATTTAATTGCTGCAAAATCATTAAATAATCTCCAATGCCTACCAATTGATGCTAATATAAATCCTGGATGAAGTGGAAGAAAATAGGAATGAATGTATAGAATTTAATTGTAATTTTTTAAAAGAAAACATTCTTTTGCTAATATAAAGATTAACAAATGAGTAAGTAATTTTTGTTTACAAAATACCACTTTTTGATTAAGTTTTTAATAGTTTTTAACCACTGCGGACGGACTGTATGATTATTATTATATTGTTATTAATTTTATTCTTGTGGTTATGGAATTTGGTATATTTATTTACCCGATTGTTTTTTTTTTTACGAGAAATAATAATTTTAAAGGAAATAAATTTCTTTTTTTATTATGTTTTTTAATTACTATTACAATTCAATAATAATCGACGACTAAATAGTCTAAATTGATGTCGAAAGTCTGAAATATTAATATTAATTTAATCTAAATACAAATAGTAAATATGAATGGAAACAAATTATTTAATACAAAAAAAGTCAATTTACAGTTAATAACGAACATTTTAAACAGTATTAAAACCAAGTTTCTCTTAATAAAAATTAATTTTTTATTCTTTTTATTAAATCTAGGAGCCCCTCCTCATACTCCTCCAACTTCCTCTTCAACGAGGAAATTTCCTCCTCCGCCACCTATCAACAATATATAAATTTTTTGTAAGTATAAAATTTATTTCTTCAGATCAAAAAAAAAAATCAATTCTTCTTCTTACCATCAGCTTCTCCTTCAGAAGCTCCACCTCCACATCCGAGGCCTTTTTTTCAACATTTATTTGTGCAACCGGCACATTAGTAATTTTTTTTGCGCGGGTTGCATACTCCAACGTTGATATGGTTTCTTCGAGGCTCGATTTTACTGGAGATATTGTTGCGATGATACAAGTTTTTGTTTTACCGCCAAGATCAGGGTTGGCATTTTTAGGTGTCCAATTAATTTTTATTTGGATTTGTCCTGTCCAATTGTCCAAATGCCGCAGTAACTATTAGTCCAAATTACCTAATACAGTAAATTGGACAATCGGACAAGGGGTATTTGGACAGATTTGCCAACACTGACCAAGAGAGTCTTGGAGTAATCGTGTTAATTTACTTTCTCTTAATAATAAAAATAATAATAAAATGAAAATCATTATTCTAATTTAACAATATTTAATTGATTGACTTTATAATGTGTATACGTATATATACATATATATCATACCGATATGGAATGTGTTTTGCCTTCTCATTAAGATTATTAATGCCATCAGGAAATTTTTTCTGCAACTTCAGTCTCTTCCCTCTCCACCGCTCCCCTTTTAATTTGAAAATATTTTTTCGAAGAACAAAAAAATATTAAGCAATAATGTTTAAAAAATTATTGTCAAATAATGTTGATAGTTTTATCCTTTGTAAAACTCACCTACACCTGACAACTACTTCGATGTTCTCTTCGTTTGTCCTGAGATTATCAATAATCACCACCACCATTTTTTAATAATAACGGCGAGTGGAGAGAACCACCATTCTTATGATAAACACTTCCTGTCTTCTTGTACGGTCTTTTGGCGGCATTGTTTTTGTTAGAAAAGTTATTTTTGATAATGAAAAAAGATAAATTATTTTTTGTGATGAAAAAATAAAAATCGTTTTTCGTAATGAAAAAATAAAAATTATTTTTTGTGAATAAAAATCGTTTTTTGATAAGGACTCACACTCCCACTTTTTATATAGGAAAATTTATTTTATATTGTGTTAAACAAAAAAAAAATTACGTCAGATCAGAATTGCTTCATTTTATGACGGAATCATTACATGTTTTAGTCGGCGTTTAAATCACTAATTCACATGAAGATTTCAGTTTTTATTACTGTGATATAAAAAATTATGTAATAAAACATACAATAACATTCCATGGACAATATCAAGGTCATTGAAGTGTGTTTAGTCATTATAACGCTACTTGATGCTGTCGTAATGATCTTTTCGTTCAACTAACCTATTATTAGGACTTGTTTAAATTGTTATTATCTATTTGAGGTCTTTTAAAATCACTTATTTAGAACAGACAGGTATCCAGAAATTAGTGTTTCTTAGGAATACCAGTACTTTATATATAATAAATGATGCATTAGAACCAAAGTTGAGAGACGAAAATATTTTGTAGTGTAAAAAATGTTTCGTCAAGAGCACATGCGACGAAATATGACGAAAAGTGACGAAATTCAATTTATCTAGATTTAGTATTAGCTAAACATTTTTTTTATCATGTTTCTGTCTGTTTCACATAGACTTGGTTTTTCGTTACACAGTCTAATATATTACTCACGGCCTAATACTAACCAATATTAAATTAATTAGCGACAATGACGACATTATCACAAACTCATCATCGCAATCGTTATCCATCAGTTTTTTTAATTAATAATATAAATTAAAATCTCAAAATATTTTCTCTTATATATATACCCACCCTTATTATTATTAGTTATTTTTTTAATTTCAAAAATAATAATATTATATTATTCAAGTTATTCAAATTATTCAAAACCATTTTCTCTTATATACACCTTCACTAGTTATTTTTAACTATCATCGTTTTTTCATCACCACCTATTTTTCTTCTCTTCTCAAAAGCTATTTTTTTAAGATGCCAAAAACAAAAATAAAAAAAATAGATCGAGAAGAGGAATCGGGCAATTATAAATGAGCAAATATTATTAGAGCATGGTAAGAAGAAGAATTGTTTTTTTTTTTTTTGATCCGAGGAAATAAATTTTAATTTTATTTATACATACGAAATTTATACAGTGAACCCTTCCTAAATGCACCACTATGTATACCCTCCATAAATGCACGGCCCATCTCATCCCCAAGCTTATAGAGAGCTTATAAAATCACCCTCCAT